GTGCTGGCATTGCATTGTCTCAATATGGCAAACCTAAACTTGTTCAGGTGCACAAAAGTACTTTGACAAGTGACAAATTAGTTGAATGGCTTCTGTCCATGTATAATAATAGTAATTCACATCTTTTCAGACTAAATAAATGTCTGTGTAAGGTACCTCAGTTAATTTAGTGAACTTCAAGTAAAAGATTCAACCAGGAAAAACAATTAGCTTTCAAAATAAAATTCAGGGATGAAGTTGTAGAAAAACACACATCAGGGAAAGGGAGCAAAAAAGTTAGCTGAATATCCTTTTAAACTTGGTAAAGATTAACACTAAGAAGAGAAAGGTGTATCACGACAACCAGAAACTACCAAGATCACATTGTCCCGCCAATCAAATAGGAAACTGATTAGCAATACTACCACGTGGCTAGCAACGGCTTTATTGATTAGTCTTTTTGAAAGAGTGCAACAGAGTTCAATGATTAAGATAGGAGAAAATGTCTGTGAGTCAACAATATCCTGGTCACTCCACAAAGCTGACCTGTACAGCAGAGCGGCAGACCCATGGAGGGTCAACAAAGCATTTAAACAGTTAATACTGCAAAGATGTGTCAAATGTGCAGATGAAACATAACTGGAACTATCTTGGTCTAAATGCAAAGCCCCCAGCCCAACACAGTGCATCATCCATTGAACACCACATCTGCAGAGACTAGCAAGCTTGTCAATATTGAAGGATCAAAGTAGAGGCAAATCTTAGAGAAAAACATGCTTCAATCAGCTAATGACCTTGGACATTTACCTTTCATCAGGACAAAGTTACACAACCAAAGCTACAATGGGGTGGCTTAACAAGAAGAAAGCGGATGTCCTTGAGTGGCCTATTCAAAGTCCTCACTTGAATGATCTTCAACCAATTGGACAGGGCGACCTTTCGTATGTTCTTATGTTTTGGAACATGGGAATCTGATACAAAATTTAAATAAAAAAAAAGACAAGAAAGAAAGAAATCAACGCTGATATTAAAGACAGATATTGTTCTAACCTATAAAAACGTGATACTGCTGTTTTAAGCAGCGGAAGCTATCTACAATCATAGAAAAATAGGCTGGTGGAAGCATCTGTCATCTCCCAGTGATTTTTTTCTTTTTAATGAAGATCTACAGTTCATCATGCGTCCTGCCAACATGAGTTTGACCAACCATAAAGATTCTACTTTAACTTGTGCTGGCTTACTGTCATAGTAAATGTTATAGCGCTTGTCCAGTATTGAAGCCTATACAGTTTCCTTCAAATACAGATCAGCTCTGATCACTGACCTCACAACCGCTTAATTAGTGCAGGTTTACAGGAAGAAATGTGGCAAAAACAAACCACAATATTAGCAAGCTGTGCATTGTAAACAAGTTTTTTTTTCTTAAGAATTTCATATTAAATGAAATCATCATGAGCTACAGAAGAACAGCTTGAAACCCAACACAAAATTGTAACAACCTTGAAGTGGTTTACCACTGCACAATTTCTTCATTAAAACTTGTAGTTTTATAGAGTGCTCCTGACAGAAGGCAACTGTTTAATGAAGGTTAAGTGCTCTTTTAAATAAACAAGTAAAGAAGCACTAGGCTCTGAGTGGAAATCTCTGTGTTTATTTGAAAGCCAACTACTGTTTCAAGAATCTGTAGTCCATCAGCATGCTTTGCAGGTGAGCTCACTAGAAACCACAGATGTCAGCTTTGTTATGAATACCCCAGAGGAAAAGTTGTGTTGAATTCTGATTTTCAGGCTTCCACAATATTTTGATGGTAGTCAAAACAAAATTAAATTCATTTGTTATCTTAAAATTAACTTAGAAAAGATTCTTAAACATCCAACATTTCTTCTCCACAGAATATATATATATACGTTCATTTGTAAGTGCCCTTAGGTCAGAGTTCTTAAGTAATATGCACTTGATGATATTCTTTAAAAAAAAGGAGGTACAAAAAACGACCTGCAGGACTTATAGGATTTATGGTGGTGATAGTTATATATCTTGCACTGAATTTCAGCCACTTATCAAAATAAATAAAACTGACAGATCATTTTACAGTTAGTTATTGTTTTATGCTTATCCAACTAACATTAAAAACAATGATGTTAAATACCACCTGATGAAACCTATTTTTTCAAAACAATTTGTTCTCTACCATTTGAATTCTGCCTAATTGTTGTGGTAATTTAATCCTAGTTTAAATTTGGAAAATTGAATATCTATTGGCAATATGAAGTTATTATGCATTTTTTCACAACTACCAAGGGTTCTCCTTCGAGGGCCCATACATGCATTCTGTATAGTAAACCGTGCCCTGTTTGTTTTGATATAGTAAAGTGATAGATCACAGAATGAACGAGAAACACCTTTGTTATTCACCTGTAAACTAAGCTCCTGCACATAATTTAAACCCATCAAAAATCGGGCCCTTCGTTCTTTTAGTGTTTGATACGTAAGCGTGACATCGTTTATTTATGTATGCGCCAATTTAAAAAAATGAACGTTTTGAAGAAGTATGGCCTAATTAGGTTATCCTGTCCTCTATTCATCACAAAGGTGTTGATCTGGGGTGCTATAGCTGTTCAAGGTGGAAACAGCATTACATGGAATGTATTCCTTACTGTTTCCATGGTCTGATAAATATCTGTCCAAAAATGTATCATTTAGAAAAACAACTAGCAAACAGATAATTAAATCTAAGAAATCAATGCAGTCTTGAAGGAACCAATTTTATAGTTGAAACTAAAATGTATCTTTTAATTCTTAAGAGTTAAGAGAGAAGTAACTCCTGCAGAACCAAAGAAACAATTATACATTCAGATGTACCAACTAAAAACAGAAAAGAGGGACATAATCACAATCATTGGATTGATTGATGATGAACAAACAATCATTGGAAAATAAACATTAATAAGCACAATGTGATACACACAGGAAGTAGAAACATACACTATACATATCACTCGGGCAATTCTGAGCTGCCTTGTCTCATTTTTGGTCTTTCGTATACTCCTAACAGGAAGCAGACCTCAAAATTTCTAATAACTTTATCCATTGAAGAACATAAGACAGGTTACAAACAAGCACCGTCTGTCATAAATGTCCTGGATGGATGGGAGAGCAACCCAAGTGATGGACTGGGCAGTTTTCACCACCTGCTGTAGGGCTTTGCAGTCACCAATACTGCAGTTGCCATACCACACTGTGATGCAACCTGTCAGTGTGCTTTCTGTAGTGCATCTGTAAAAGTTAGTGAGGATCTGGAGACATATCTTAGTCTTCTTCAACCGTCTTAAGAAGTACAGGAGCTGTTGCGCTTTCTTGATCAGACAGGTAGCGTTGAGAGACCATGTGAGGTCCTTGGTGATATGGACGCCAAGAAATTTGAAGTTACTGATCTTTTCCACTTCAGTCCCATTGATGTGGATAGGGGCATGTCCGTTTTGCAGTTTTCTGAAATCAACGATCAGCTCCTTGGTTTTGCTGACTTTGAGGGTGAGGTTGTTGTCTTCACACCATGTTGTAAGGAGATTGACCTCCTCCCTGTAGACCCTCTCATCACTGTCTGTGATCAGACCTACAACTGTGGTGTCATCAGCAAACTTGATGATGGAGTTGGTGTTGTGTTTGGCCTTTCAGTCGTGGGTGTAGAGGGAGTAGAGCAATGGACTAAGCACACACCCCTGGGGGACCCCAGTGTTCAGTTAGTGTGCTGGAGGTTTGGTTTCCAAGCCTGACAGCCTGAGGTCTGCCTGTCAGAAAGTCCCGAATCTAGTTGCAGAGGGTGGTGTTGAGACCCAGTGCACTGAGTTTCTTGACTAGTTTCTCTGGAATGATAGTGTTAAAAGCTGAGCTGAAGTCGATGAATAGTAGTCCTACGTATGTTTTCTTTTTATCCAGATGGGATAGGGCAGTGTGTATGGCAATGGAGATTGCGTCATCTGTGGATCTGTTGGGCTGGTAGGCAAACTGGTACAGGCCCAGTGTGTTCGGAATGGTGTCCTTAATGTTCCTCATGACCAGCCTCTCGAAGCACTTCATGATGACAGGTGTTAGTGCCACCGGTCGGTATTCATTAAGACATGTCACTGTGGTTTTCTTCGGTAGTGGGATGATAGTGGTTATCCTGAAGCAGGTGGGGACTACGGCTTGGGCCAGGGACATGTTAAAAATGTCTGTGAATATACCCGCCAGTTGATTGGCACAGGCTCTGAGGATACGACTGGGTTACCGTCAGGTCCTTCAGCCTTGCGTGTGTTCACGGAGGGTGCAGCTCTGTTGAGTGGTTCTGTGTTGCTAGCTTCAAACCGAGCATTGATCAGTGGCATTTCCAAGCAATTAATGAATTCTTAATCCAAACAAACACACTTCCCACAGTACCTATTGCCTGTAATTTGACAATTAATCTTTTATAGGGTAGTTTATTTAAAGTATTCTGAACATCTATATATATTTCATGCTGAATGTGTCAAATACTCCAGTTACGTGTCTATCTATCAAGTAAGACCTATTTTGTATACATTCAAGCCGATTTCCATGTTTCTCAAGGCATTCAACCTACCTTTTCTAAGGCTACACTGAATAACGTTGAACTACACCTTAAAGCAACAGAATCCTTTAATACCAGACACCTGTCTTTGGTGTAAATCCATAGCCGTGGTTTTACATGAGCCTGGACTGCTGTATGTGGATGGACTGGAGTTGCAAGTTAACCACCTGCTGCGTGTTAATTTCTTCCCTAGTCTTCCCTACGTTCATTGGTGCTCAATGGAGCTGAGGCAAGGTATGAAATATTCACCTTCAAATTGTGAATAAGCCAATGTAATAATGCATAAGTCCTTGAATATGCACACTTTTGAATCCTACATAACAATCATTGACATATTATACAATACATTTGACATCTAAGCAGCGCTTTCATGACATTAATTTGCAATTACTAAACTAATGATGCTAAAAAACAAAAGCATTATTTCAGTGTTCATAGTTTATTACATCTTGAGGAATATTACAGTAAAAATATTAATGATACATTAAGTGTGGTTATTATGTTATTATTTGAACAATGTAACACGTTCTATATAGGGATGACATTCAGACTTCCGGACCTAAGCTGTTAGTAAACACAGAACAGTTTTCAAGTGAAATGGAAAATGCTTTTACCCTTGTGTATCTGAGAGGTGTTTTTGTAGTGCTGTCAATCAGTCACAATGACACAAGGCAGAAGTGGGTAACTATGAAACCGTTAAACCTTACAAGATGGTGTCTTAACAACAATCTGGCCCTGAATGTCAACAAGACAGAAGAGCTCATTGTGGACTTCAGAAAACACAGAGGGAATCACACCCCAATCAGCATCAATGGCACAGCAGTGAAAACTGTCAGCTGTTTCAGGTTCCTCGGCCTGCAGATCTCCACCGACTTGGCTCGGCCTCACAACAGTGTAGCCTGTCTGAAAAAGGCACAACAATCCCTGCACTTTCTGTGGTGCTTATGAAATGTGTTATAGAAATGTGTTATAGGGAAGCAGCACCTCATCAACTTTTACTGCAGCACCATAGAAAGTGCCCTCACTGGTGGCATCACTGTATGGTTCAGCAGTACTACCAGGCATGAAAGAGATGCACTACACAGGCTTTTGACAACGGCACAGAGGATTCACACTATCCACTATCACAATAAAGCCCAATCTATAATTCCGGATTCCAACCATTCCGACCACAAAGCGTTCTCCCCCCTGTGCTCTGGTAAGCAGTACCTCACTGTTAAAGCAAAGACCACTAGACTCAAAAACAGCTTCTATCCCACTGCAGTACGCATCCTCAAAAGCTAACTGCACTGCCTCAGACTCACACCCACACTCTGCATTTTTCGCACGGTCTACCCTGTATTTTTCTCACTACTAAATATTAATTGTCCACAACATATTCATTGTTCCTGTTGTTATTATTTATTATGTGATGTACTGTCTACATTGTGTGGTGTTGTCTGTTGTACTGTGTATGTCCTGAGATATCAGCGCAATTAAGAACTCCAATGTACCTGTACATATGGCAATAAACTACCCCACTACTCTACCTAAAACCATGCAAGCTCCCCACAGGTGATCCATGTATAACATTTTGTCAAAATGTAAACAAATTAATAAATGTATGAATACAAGAAATAACAAATATAAAAAAATCAATGAATAATTAATTGTTAAAATAAGTGTTTTAATTATTGAATGCCACTTTTCAACATCAGTTTAAGAGAGAGGCTCTGCTAAACCTATAGTTCTGTTTGTTCTCCAGTTTCTTTGTATCAATCCTTTTTCTACACCAGTGGCTTTCAATAAATAACCTGCTATTAACACAACCACAGGCCAGCAGCTGAGTGTTAGTAGTTGTGCAAAATCCAGTGTTGTAAAAGATAATGCCAGTTCATTCTGAGAGATCTTTTTAACAATATATAAAAAGAAACAGTGATTGGGTTGCAAGGGATAGGGAAATGCAAAATAAAGTGAAATATTTTAATACATTTGAGAAAGTATAAATAATCAATTTATAAATAATCAGAACACTCAGAAACATTAAATATATAGTGTATACAAGTACAGGAAAATTGAATGCATATCAATGTCCAAGTATACCATGATATACATATAATTATTATTCTCAGCTTTAGTTAAAAATATCTTTTACAGATCCAACCTACAAAGAGCCATTATTTTGGTGAAATATTTTCAATTCAAGTGAGATGAACTTCGGTGCCTAATTTGTACACTGAAAAAAAGTTGTAACACTGGCGCCACCCAGTGGGCTTTATATGTAATAAACCTCCACAAGCAAGACATTTTACTGCTGTACAAAAGTGTTCATTCGTGACGGTTTTTGTCTGCTTGCTCCCACTTCCAACCCGTCGACTTCATCAGGTTCCACAACACAGTATTTTTTGGGGTGAAAGAATTTATAGTAAAGAACAAGACAAATAATACCCAAAACAAAAGTGCACATTACTGTGATACAAATTGGAAAGAAATAATCTGTCCTTTGAGCTGATGGCTTCAAAAAGTAAATTACTAACATAATGAACAAAGTCTGTAATGCAGAAAGTATATAGTAGATTGTCATTGATACTTTCGTGTTTTGTCCTTTCACATTAAAAAATGTGAAAACAAGGAAGACTCCTACAATCATTCGATAAAAAACCTCCAAAGTTTTGGATGTGCAGAAAGTTGTCTTCTGTCTGAAGGCCCAAAGAGTGCCAAACAGCCACACAACAACCAATGCCGAAGTCCAGACCACATTCAAAATGGTCAGGAGAATTATGCTTAACACACGCGAGGTCACTGTGAAGAGTTTATAAAGCAGGTACACCACAGTAGATAAGCCAGCCTGCATTTCTTCCTTATAATGTAAGGATCTCCGAAGACACCTCTGATAGTCCACAGTGGCCCAGGCGATACTGAAGAACGAGGTCAGGATGGTAATATCTGGAAATTCAGTTAAAGATGAAGGGTTAGTAAAAGCATAAAATACTTCATTTCTCACATAACTACTGACATGGCACAACAGGTATTGTATTTTTAGCAAACTGCTGAGCAGCTCTTAAATTTTCTGCACAAATTAAAGCTGACAATCAGATTTCCCCAGCTGATCCTGTACATTCCAACACTTTGTATCCAGTTGCAAAGGGTGACATATTTAAACCATATTACTTAATGGTGTCATTTAAAGGATGTTCAAGAGGAAGTCAAGGTACTCCATGTCTACCCACCACTCTGTATGCATCAGTTCTTGTCCCCCTCTCTTTACCCCAACTTCACCCTTGCAGCTGCCTCCCTGTTTCATTCCTCAGTGAGGAAACACCTCTGACCAGAACTGTCATTTCCTCAGCCTGGTGAGTTTACCAAAATATTAAATGTGCTATCTCTTAATATTCTTCAGTTCATTTTAAGATAAGATCACTTGAGAAGCTTGGGTTCAGAGCTCAGGGTCAGCCATTTATACGGTGCCCCTGGAGCAGCTGGGGTTAAGGGCCTTGCTCAGGGGCCCAACGGAGTAGGATTCCTCTGCCGGCCGCGGGATACAAACCAGCAACCTTCCAGCCACTGGCGCAGATCCTTAACCACAGAGCCACCACGCCACTCCATTTCGTCATTATTAGAATTTGACCAAACTACTGAAAATGTATTTTTTGTAATAGATCAGGATGAAAGTGTTTCTTTCTCAATATGCTTCTTATTTAACCATTCATCGTTGTCAGAAAGCTGATAGTCATGAAAATCGGGAGCCTATCTTGGCAGTATAGTGTGCATTGTTTTATAATGAATCTTAAGAGCAGCACAGTGCTGTGGCAGTTTGTACTGCTGCCTCACAGTTCCTGGTTCTCTAGCTCACAAATGAACCTTAAAGGCATCCGTGTCGAGTTTCCATGCCCTTCCCTTGTTTGCGTTTGTTGTCTCAGATGATTCAGTTTCTAGCTTCCTTCAAAAGGCATTCTGACTTGGCTATCACCGTGTGTTTGTGCTACTGATTGTGTGCGTGCTAAACTTGTGAGCCGGATCCCCATCCAGGGCATAGTTCAGCCTTGCTCTTAGATCACAAGCTCCGGGTGCTTCCATAATAGACTCCAGGTTGCTACAACTCTTATCAGTGACTTTCAGAAGGATGATATATATTATTCCACAAACATTGACAATGGTGTGATAGAAGATTAGGTTTTTTTTGTTTCTTTTCAGTTTGAATTTGAGGAGTCGCACACTAAAGTTGTGTCTTATACACACAGAATTGAAAATATTTTTAAAAATAATTTCTCCGGCCAGCTGCTGTTTCCTTCTCTTTTTGGTTTCTTCTTCTTATTGTACACACGCTGATAATTCTAAAGACTGAACACTAGCTGAGCATGTTCATTTTTTGTTTTCGTTTTCACCTTGTGCTTGTACTAACGGTGGCCAGGCGTTTTCACCCTGTGCAGCTCGCCAGCACTACGTACTGCAGCTCTGCACTTACACTGAATGGTGATGATGTTGCCGTATTCCAGGATGATGTACAGCTGCAGAACGAGCTGGGGGACACTCTCCAGGAAGGTCTCGAACAGCCTGAGCATGCTGACGTCGGCTGCCTCAGCAAACGCCACACAGTGGATGTTATTTCCCTGGTAACTCACAGAGCATCTGGACTTCATCGCTTTGAGCCCCTTACCAAGAAGCCAGATATACCTTTAAAGAGCATAAAGACAATAAAAAATAAGAGTTTTACACAACTGCCATTCTTTTCTTTTATTGGGCAATTTAACTGCAGCTGTCTTTTCACCAACTTAAAGATACAGAGTTCTTGCTTTTGTGAAAACGTATATACAGAGAGAAATGTGCATGAAAATAAAGCAATATGTCATTTTTTTACTCTACCTTTTCCCCAGGTACCATAATATTGTTAACTGTCTCCTTCACAGCCAAGACTACTAGCAATAGAAGTTTTATACAGCGTATACAGTTATACAGTTCAATATGTTCAAGCTCTTCTTTTGTTTGCACATTATCTATGGGTGGGCAGAGCTTCGTTGTTCTCTCTTTTTCATGTTCACATGGCACATGCTTTTCTCTAAAAACGACTCCAAAAAGGTGGACCAAAACAAGAAATTTGCATTAAACTTCTCCACTCTAGTATGTTAGCAAATGGATAATACCCACCTATTTTGTAACCGTGGATTATAACCGTGGTTTTTATATGATATTAATAGAATAGTGTGGTTAAATTCTAATAACAACATAACAAGCTGACAAATATAGGGGGACAAACGTACTTCATACTCGCCTGGCTGAGGAAATGACAGCCCTGGCCAAAGGTCAGCACTGTCACAACCCCCCTCACTTGCGAGGAATGAGCCAGGGAGGCAGCTTTAGTGGTGAAGTCTAGATGAAGAGAGGGGGTAGAAAAGATGTGTGCAGAGTTCTATGTAGCCAGGAGAATTTATATGCAAGGGAGTAGAAGTACAATATTAGAATTTAATGAAATAGTGTTTTAATAAACATAATTTGTTGTTTTCTTTAGAATTCTTGGGAGAAAATACGATACAGTATGGTCAAATAATACTTTATTGTCTGATTTCTCAGACATTTGTTTTGCACCACTGCACCTACAGTATGTTTTACAGACTTATAAAAACATACAAACAGTACATATAAACATGACATTATAAATAAATATAACATTACATGAAAGACAGCAACCCCTACAAAGTCATTACCCCTCACTCCTACAGGAATCCACGTAGATTACCAGAACTCATATGTTCAATTCCCCTACAACCACCCTGAGTCGCTATAATTGCACAGTTACCCTTCATTTTTGCAAGTAACCACTAATTGTACTTGCCCATAAACTTTAAACAGCTTGTTGGAAGGCATCAGCTGGTATTCTTCAAGCAGAACATGAGAGGGATCAGATGAGCTACTAACATCTAGTCTCAACATACTTGTAACGTAAGCTCAGCTCAGCTGGAAGCCCTACTATCTTAGATCACATCCTGAAGAGTCTGAATGTATAGGCTTTTTATTGCACAGAAAGATTGTTATACCAGTTATCCCATAGTGCACGGCAATTTGTACCACAGAACTGAAAAACACAGACAGAATCTGACTACTAGCACCAAAAACCTGTAACCTACTATGGAAGTAAATTTGTTGTTACACTTTATCACATATAAAGTCAGCATATGCCTACCCAGACAGATTAGCATCTATGTGTATTTCCAGATATTTCAAGGATATAACTTATTTAAAGAACCCATAACAAATTATATCTGGGGGTGGGTATTCATCCTGTTCAAAGACCAAAGGCAATTTATTCTGTTTTTAATTCAAGTATTTAAAATCCAGGCTTTCTGATCACACCATGCAACCAAACCACACGATTCTGAAACAGGCTGGGATCATCATTATCTTTCATCAAAGAAAGTAAGGTGGAGGTATCAGAAAAGTTATTTAGGAACTGATTTGGACCACTGGCAACACAATCATTTGTCTAGTGAAGTGAAGAGTGAAGGGCAGTGGTAAATTCACACATCCCTGGAGCACTCCACAGTATATTATTGACTTTGTCTCAGAAGGATTGGGTTGTACCAAAATATCAGATATGGGTTCATCTGTAATTGAATCATTTTCAACAATAAAATGTAAGGAAAAAACGACTACCGCAAAATACTAATACATTCCTTCAGGCCATTTCTAGGGGCTTTAAAATAGTTTTTCAAATAACATGAACTTTCTTTTGAATTGATCAGTGTTGTCCTCCATGTGCTACACTATTGACCAATGGCAAACAAACAGTGCTATTGCCTGAAACTTGGTTCAGAAAAAGAGCTGTACTTTACTTCAAGTCAATTTTTTCCAATGACATAAATAACATGCTTAAATAAACACACTCCCACACAAGTCTCTCAGATCACACGGAAAGGACAATCTTTGACAAAAGCAGACACAGCATAACCTTAATAAGCACTCATAGTTCATGGTCATGTGGAACTAATGGATACTGACAGAATTATGAATGTCTGCTCTGCGTGTTAACATTTATTGTAAATAGCACAAAGGCATGACAGTCATTTCGTAATTGTGAAGTGTCAGGAGGTTTCTAACAAACTGAACTTGACAATGGAATTCACACTCACCTGCACGCGTGTCACAGAAATCAAGTTTCAGACATAATTGCAGGGCACACACAGACACCGATATGCACACACTCACATCAGAGCCAATTTTACAGGCAACTGAAGGTATCCCACGAGAACATGCAAACCCAACATCAATCACATCAATCCAGGTCCAGAACTGAAGTCGGGTCCCAGGGCAGCGAACCACTGTGCTGCCCAACAACAGATAAAGTTATGTTAGTATTAGTAAAGCACTTAAGTATACTTAAAGTATACTTCCCTCTAGTGGCACCACCAGTAAATACAATCTACTACATTCCATCTCCCTTAAGCCTGGAGTTTGTTTTTTTACAGGTTTACCAGAACACACAGTTACACTTCTGAAACAAAACTACCACCCTAGTGAACTTTTGAATTTCCCAGTTCAAGATCTTTCAAATACCTTGGAAGTTTGTTGGTTCTCTGTGAAAGGCGGAACTTGCTGTCCCCCCATGAACTGGCAGGGTTGTCTGGGGAGATTTCCTCAGCTTGATCCCCATCTTTTTCCACCTTCCGGTGGTGTTGTTGGCCTGGGGGTTTCTGCTGCTATGAATGAATCGACTGGTGCCACCATGATCAAGTCTGAGCGTTCTGGGCCTGATTGATTGACTTGCCTCCACACTTTTACTACCGCTTCCCGGTTTTTCGTGTCATCGATGAATATGATCCACATGACGTCTCCCCACGCTTCCACCTCCTGCCTCCCAGTTCATGACACTGCACTGCTTGCTTTTGCGGTCCCGGGATCTGCTCTGGACCATCACTAAGGTTTCTGGTTAAAACATCGTCTCTCTGTTGGAAATTACAATCCTGAAGTCTGGTCATCACGTCCTGTCTTCTGCTGCTGTTGTTGTTGTTGGTTTTCTCTCATTTTCTTTTTTAGGTCTGGCTACTCTAAGTTAAGGGCGGAATGCAGTTAGTGGCTCATTAACATTTCAACAGGGGACTGTTTTCTTGTGGTTTGTGGTGTGATCCTGTAACTGAAAAGCAGTTGACCTACTTTAGCTGATATACTCCCCTCAAGAGCTTTTTTCCACCATAATTTCCTTTAAAGTCTGAACAGCACACTCTACCAGCCCATTTCAAGACGCCTGCTATGGGGCTGAAGTTCTGTGAATAATACCATCCCTTCTCATGAATTCCTTGAATTCTGTGCTGGCAAAACATGCTCTGGTTTCTGACACGACCATCTGAGGTATGCATCGATTGCTTAAGCTGTATAATTGTTTATGATGTATAAACAATCACTTGAAACAGCCGAAGTCTCTGAGATTACAGGATACACGTCCATGCATTCTGAATGAGCATCTATTAGCCCCAAAAACAGTTTCACCCATAAATGGTCCTGCAACTGCATAAATCAATAAGTAGTTCAAGGAGGTAGCAGCGTCAGCATTCGTAGGCTGCAAAGGAACAAGTAAAGGTTTATCCCATGCTGAAAAGAGACAAAAGAGAAGAAAAGAAACACAACGTTTTGGTCCACACCAGAGAAAGGCTCCACAGCCAAAACGTTGTTACTTTTCTTCTCTTTTCAGCCTGGAATAGACCTATTACTTGTTCCTAATCAAAATGTAGTCTTTTCCATGGTTTGTCTGGCCACTCCCAGGGATGAAGGGAAGCCACAGCAGTAGCCTTTTTGTGCTCCCGACATGACTTAAGGTGCGCGTTTCTACTAAATTCTCAGTGTCCTCATTCAATTTTGACCTCCACAAACAACCCCGGGTCAAAGCTTTTGTGGGGTGGTGCCTGCATGACACTGATGCCTTCTACCCTTGTGGTGGGGTATGTAGCGGCAATGCTTGTTAATAAGACAGAATTAAGTGTTGCTGTGCAATTAATAACTGTCCCAGTAAATGCCCACACCCTACAGAACTGGTGCCTTCAGAGAGCACACTACAGGTAATTAAATGTGCATCCATTCTTAACTGAGTTTGGCAAACTCTGTAGGGGCCAAAGCCACTTCTCTGGGTTTGTTCTTTCCAGCATTTAGGTACACAGTCTCTAGGATAGGGTCTGTACATTTCTATGCTCCAACTTGGGTGGCTTTCACCAGGTCAGTGTCTGCATCCTCAAAGAGCAACACTCTGTGGTCAGGCTCTGGACTCTCAGGTGTCTCTGGATGTGGAAGATGACTTAAAGCATCGGCATTCACACAATCCTTCCCTGTCTTGTTCACTACGGAGAATTCAAAGGCTCACAGTGTCACTGCCCATCTCTGGATTCTCCGGGCCTCCATCAGTGCCACAGTCTTCATCTCATTGAAAAGAGCTGGGAGAGGTTTGTGACCTCAGCGGATAGGGCATTTACAGCCATACAGAGTTTCTGACAATGCCATATGCTGAACATCCCCACTAGGCCCTCTTTGTCTCATTGAGCATAATTCTTTTCAGCGGAGATCAGAATAAGAGACACTAACCCAACAGGCCTTTTGTTTCCATTCTGCATTTTATGTGACAGTACAGCACGCACTCCATACAGACATGCATCACAAAAACGTATAACTTCTTCATCTCCATTATACTGAACTAACACTTGAGAAGACTTCATGACTTACTTTGACTTTCCGCTTCTGCTCCTCACTGGTATTCCCTGTTTTTTAACAGCAAAGTGTGTGATGGAGCTGGGACCATGGAGAGACTCATGAGGACCCCGTCGTATTACCTCAAGAGACCCAAGTAAGCTTTAAGTTCTGTAACGTTTCTGGGTGCAGGCACTTTGCTGATGGCATTTACCTTACTGATTACAGGATGTAGCCATGTGGCATCAAGTTTTTGTCCCAGGAATTCCGCTTCCTTTCCCAGAAAAGAATATTTACTCCTGTTTTCTAGTCTTTGGAACACCTCCGGCAGGTGGTTAAAGAGGTCCTGGTCATCACACCCCATCACCAGGTACTAGGTTCATGTATTTCCAGCAACCTCATTTAGTGCATCGCATGCAGAAAATGCCCAGCTATTTACATGGGTGAGACAGGAAGAAGACTGGCAGCCTGGTTCAGGGGACATGTCAGAGCTGTGAGGATCACAGATCTCTTCCCCAACTTGCCTCTAAGGGCCAAGACCTTTCTGATCTCTCTGGCTGTGTCCTCACAGAGGGGTGTTGGAACTCCTATTGCTGAAGGACATCTGAAACCAAAATGATCCTGAAACTAGGATCACACCTTCCTCCTTCTCTTAACCACAGACTCGTCTCCTAAATCCTCTCTCTTCATTTGCAGATTCCAGCTTTCCACACCTCTCCTCCTGTTCTTCCTTAGTCTGGCCACCTGCTTTATGCCTTCTTTAGGTGACTGACCCCACCTGAAAAAGGCTTCACTGCTGAAACATTGCATTTTCTCTCTTCTCTTTTCAGCACGGAATAAACCTATTACTTGTTCCTTTGCAGACTACGCATACTGATGCCACTACCCACCTGAACTACTTATAATTAATAATAATTGCTTTCACTTATATAGCGCTTTTCTGGACACTCCACTAAAAGTGCTTTAAAGGTAATATAGATTGTTAATAATGATCAGGAACAACAATGGGCCTACAGTAAAATGATCTGTGTGGATCTGTCCAATTGCATGTTTCAAGATTGTTACCCAATGCTTAATCCACATGCATTATAATAATAATAATACACTTATATAGCACTTTTCTGGAAACTCCCCTCAAAGCACTTTATAGGTAATGGGGATTCCCCTCCACGACCAGCAGCGTGCAGCCCCTACCTGGATGATGCAAAAGCAGTCATAGTGCACCAGCACACTCACCACACACCAGCTCTCAGTGGGGAGGAGAACAGAGTGATGAAGCTAGTTCATAGAGGGGGATTATTAGGAGGCCATGATTGGTAAAGCCCAAAGGGAAATTTGGCCAGGACGAAAAGTTTTTGATTAATGAAGAAAAAGGTGCCACTGAACTTTAAAAATTAAAATGGTAAGGTCGTTTAGAAATAAAATGTGAAAAGGGAAGTTAAACCTTTTAGTGCATTAAACATCAACAGCGCCTAGATGCTATATAATAATCCCAGTAGATGTGTTTTTTTAAATGTTTAAAAAGTTAAGCAGAACACACTTGTTTGTAACTGCAAAATGGAGAGCTTCGCAATTAACAAAGTACTAATGTGATTTTCAGGTGGCGGTGTTCCACAGAAAATCTAAGATTCATTAACTCCAAATTTAGTGAGACTAGCATTAACACGAGCAAGTCCAGACAATATCACAGTCGCATAAAATACTGGTCTAGAATAGCAAACAGCCTGTAGCCCCAGAGTAACATTGAGAAAACACGATATCTACGCCAATAAAAACTCTCACCTCTTGGCCGCCAAACCACTTGGGAAATTTTTTCCTGGAGTTCAGCCTGCACTTATATCTACTCCGCCCTCGACATCTGCCATCTCGCCTCATTATTAACTTATGTACACTGTTATAAAACTATTAAAATATGTATTTGTGATTTGGCGTATCCTGTCTTCACTGTAATGCAAATAATATTTTATGCATGATGTGTGTATGCTATTTATGATTTTTCTTTCTCTTCTTGAGACATGTCATGTTTTTGTGATTTCGAGCGCACCACGATAACAATTTCTAACAACTCGAAGGGTTGATTTGGCGATAAAATTGACTGATTTTACCCTTCCGGTGGTCTCATATATCTTCGCTACAAGGGTTTTTTTGTCCGACAGAACGGCTAAAAGTTTTAAAAGAAACACGTCTGCTACAATACGTAATTGTGAAAAAAACAATTTCATACAACCTCGTAAATATCCCCATCTGCAGCAGGTGCAAGAGAAAGATACAGTGTCCCGGAGCCTCTCGCTCTTCCTGTGTTTCTTCGCCACGCTCTCTCTCTCGGTCATCTTTGAACCAGGAGTAGCTGAATATCTGAATTGTAACTGTTGCGCTGACCACGAATAAGAGAGTCAGCGCAAACCAGGCGTACCGTCCATCCATAAAGTACTGGAAGGCGACCCAGACATCGGTCCCGATGTCAAGGAGGTAAGTCAAGACCCCCACAACGGTCCAGAAGCAATGGCGCTTGGAGTACTGCATCGTCTTGATCGCGCAAGGTTTATATTCTTTAAAAGCCGCGACATCCCCTTTCATTTGAAGGCTTGCTTCCGTCGTGCTCTCGCCCTCGGCTTCATGAATCTGGGTTTCCCCGATATCCCCTGCCACAGCGTGGGCACGTTGCGCGGTCCCTTGTAGTCTCGTCTTTACTGTATCTGTAGAGACCAACGAGGTATCATTTCTTCCGTCACAGAGACGTTTCAGTCCTCCATGTCAGAAAAGAAAGAAAAATAAACACCGTCACAATTGTATGCCCAGGACAGCATTATTCTGGGCGATATGTTTTAACTTTTGATTATACTGTACGTTTTTGCACGTCATTCAGATTTTAAGTACCTGTAACACATAGTTCAGTTCAGTTTTTTTGCCATATGCACTGAAAGTGCAATGAAATGCTTATTTGTACACGGGCTCCAATACAAAGACGTTAAAGGGACCGCCAAAAACATAAACACAGAACAGCAGCAACAACAACAAGTGAAATAACATACAACTTTAAAAAAAGAACACCAGCGTGATCCAGTGGCAGGGGGTGGAGTTCTGTAATCTCAGTTTGTGGGAAGAATCTGTCTCTAATAATATGTATTATTGCAACCTGTTATGACAAAATACTGATAAAAGTGTTAATATTACTAGATGTTTTGAGAATCTTATTCTTATTTTGCTTCCACAAGCATTAGGTCTAGGGATATCTTTCACTAATTGATGAAGATACTGTTTGTAGTTTGTTTGGCAAATTTCTTAGTTTTAAAGGCATACAGTTGTTGTTCACTGAACTTTACTTTGAGTTAAAAGATGTAACGTTTTAAATAGTGGAGTAGCCTGCATTCTGCATTGTTATGTTTGGACCTTGTTCAAATGAAACCACACTTCTACTTAAGTCGTCATGGCCTTGCCCTCATTCCATCGCCATGCTTCTTTCCATTAGCTGGTTTCTGCTGTTCACTCTCCAGTGACATTTTCCAACATTATTGGAAGAAAACTATACTTGAAAAATAAAAGATAATAAAAGCCTTTCAAACGCCTGTCAGCATTTTGTTTTCGATGAAGTTCCTCCATAAATGTTAATCCAGACAGCTGTTTCACCATTCCTAGGACACTTCAGCGTGATATACTGTAGCTAACCCTGACCAGCGCCACAAGCATGCACTATGTATACGTGTCTGTTGTTGTTTAAAAAAAAGGCAGTCACTATAAGTTAACGGAATTTGAATATGAATTCAGTAATTTCACAGTACAAGAATGTTTCATTTATGATCAGTTGTAAAAGCTATAGCAGGTTTTATTTGACCTTTATTTGGCCAGGAATGTACAGTATTTTACTGCAACACACAACCGCAGAATTATTTTCTACATGTCCCTCTTGTCTTATTGGAGAGTTTCAACCAAATATATAAAGACAATTTTCCAAAGTAAAGATACAATATTCCTGATCTAGATTTTACCCAGACATTGAAGGTTTAAATATTTTATTATTTTTACTACTAGAAACTATATTTTGTTTAACCAAAGAACACCACAAAAGCATTGTGCTTATAAATAAAAGACGGAACTAAAACATGAGAAGCTTACAGATCAAAGTCTCTTTTGCAGTCTTCCATTATCGCTTACCTTGTGCAAATACTGCTCTTATCAAAAAACTATACCCGACGTGTACATAGATACGCTTTTGAAAAATGTACAATTACCTAACACTCTAGCTGATTTTTTTTTTTCAAATTATACCTAGTTTAATCCACTTTTTAAGTTCACACATATTGTTAGCATATTGTTATGTCCTCATCTGCTGCTGCACCTTGCTGGTTGTCTACTTAAAAATCCTAACTGCAGCGAGAAGGGGTGAAAGCCCACTGAGAACTCAGAGGTAACTGACAGACAAGTACACGGATAAAAGTAATATTACATTCACACTTTAGCTCAATTACAAAGCACAGTCTTACCATATAATGTCTGGTCTCCTTACATGCTGTACACTGACAGGGGTTGAGAAGCCAGACTACTTGACTAGGTGCTTTTCTTTCATTTTCATGTGAAACTTATTAGGAAACACCACACCCACTTTACTCAAGACCGGCACCACCAGCAAACGTGATTGCAGTCTTAACTATGAGATCACGTGTGCCTTGTTGAAGTCACTGCACTTGCCTCACAATTACCTGCTTCCAGATGTCCTTAATCATCAGAATGCAGGAACAATGTTTGCTTATTGTCATGTAAGCTCTTAGTAGTATGCTCAGAGAAGCAAGTATGTTCACCCCTCGTCCTGTTGGTAAGAATATGAGGCCAGAAATTACAATCCCACACAAGATTTGAATCTTGCGTTTGAGAGAATTGCATATCATCTTGACATCTTTCAGAGCCCAAACATAAAACTTCAACAAACCAGTGAGCTTGCGGTTAAATTTTAAACAAACATCACATAAATTACAATGTAATGTGGACTCAGGCTAATCTTACTATTGAATTGCTGGAGTTTACACTCTGAAGTGTGAAGACAAGTTTTTTGGGTGCATGTTCAGACTGTTGTAACTTAATTTCTTTTAAACTTTAATGATGCAGTCATTGAAATGTATTCATTCTCATAATGTTTCAGATTCCAAGTATATACATTCTTTTAAAATGTTTTCTATGCAATTTTTTGGCATTTCCATAAGGCATTGTATATGTAATAATGTGTACTACATCACTGCAATAAGATAAACTTAACACCGTGTATTCCAAGCTCTCACTTCGATACAATCTGTGTCTTTAATACATTGTCTTCACTTGACTTCACAAAAATGATGCTCATGGAATTTAACAGGTACTGGTAGCTCCTGCTATGTTGCTTAACTTGTTTGGTGAAGTCTTCACCATGTAACTATTCAGTTTTTGTTATTCTTTTTAATGTATCTACAGTGGATCATTCATTTCTTTGAACGCTTATAGTCCACCTATAACCACCAAGATAAAAAAGCCTCTCTCTGGAGTTCTTCAGTCTGAACAACTTCAAACTTCAAGTCTTCCAAGCTAAATCTAAAGGCATTTTAAATATGTCTTTTTTAATGTGAAATGGTAAGTGGAAAATACATGGGTATTTAAAACCAAGAAAAAGGGTGGTGGGAGTGTGGAACAAGCTACCCAGCCCTGTTGGTAAAGCTGATATCCTGGCTTATTTCAGAGACTACTAGATGTGATCCTTAGATAAACTGACCACTAACTTCCTAATGGGCTATATGGGCCCTTTTCTAACTCTCCCCTCTTTTCTAACCCTTCTTGTTAACTTACAGTATGTTCTTTTCCTACTGTAGGTTCACACCTATCTAGAAGGGTGCAAATGTATAACTCTGTTTTCAGTCCATTGTTGTTTTTTTTCCTAAATAATACTAGCAAACATATTTCAAGAAATAATCTTAATTTACAAACACACATATATTGTACATACTATATATACATAATATGTGCCAATCTTATGGCCATAAGCAGGCAACATAACCTCTTTCAGCAACTTTACTTGCAATTACATTGCAAAGCAAAAGCACTGCTGGTGACGTCACCCACAGCTGCCTGCGGACTCCTGTTCTGCTTTTCTGTTTGTACCTGTCTACCAACACGGTGATGAAGTGGCAAGAGTTTCCTTTATCAGTCTCTTTTTTTCCCAATAACTGTGGTTCCGGCACCTAGAAACACGTCGTGGAACCAAACCTTAAGCAGCTGTGTTCTTCTAGCTCAGGATTATCTCTTGCTCGGCTTCACGGGACGGTTCACAAAACGCCCGGAACCAGACCCGTAGCAGCCAGGGCAGCTGGAGCAGTAAAACGCCTGGGGTAGGAAAACGCGACTGCTCTCGTCGCGCACAGATCTGCGCAGAACAGGCGCCGTGCTTTTTAAAACATCTGCATGACGTCACTTAGTCCGGACCTAGGACGCAGCTGCAGCGAACCAATCACGCGATGTGACGCCGTGGTCAACAGAGGTCTCAAGGATTAATTTATTTCCTCAGTGTTTTTTTTTCAAACGCCTACTTAGAACCTCATATCTAAAGGCGCTTGAATCTTTATCGGCCAAGAAAAAAAATAAAGAGTGTGTCTCTGTAGGCATGTGTTTTTTTTTTCCTCCGAAGCTGCCAGTGACGTCAGAGTGGGCTTTCCAGGAGAGAGCCGTGCAGCAGCAGAGCTGCGTGTGGGTTCTGTGCACTTGGATGTTAACAACGGGGATTTTAACTAAAGAGAGAAGGAGACAATGGCGGCTTTTATTCCTCGAATAGAACAGTTGTCTTCCCGTGTAGTGCGGATTCTTGGCTGCAACCCTGGACCCATGACACTCCAGGGAACAAATACATACTTAGTGGGCACAGGAAAAAGGTAACATTGGGGTCAAAGAACTCAGTGTCGTCCTCTCGTTGCGTTCTGCGTGTGCGAGAAAAGATACACTGCTACCCTTAACCGAAAAGGAAAGAAGAAACAGAATTGGTAAAAAAAAAAGAAAAATATGTATCAAGAACCGCCACCCTCCATGTTTTTGTTTCTCTCGGGACGTTTCCGCACTAAGCCTCAGGTGATCGTGTGACTTTTCTTACCTAGAAGATACAGAGCGTGTTTTAAAAATTGCATTTCAACTCAAAAACCAACTTTCATTTGTCATTGAAACATGTGATTACTAATCAGCTGTTCCCTATTCCTGCCAATCTGGACCCAACTTGTTTGTGCGACGGTGTTTTGAGGGGCTTAATATTTCTACTAACGCCCGGTTCTGTTAACAGCTCCACTAACAGCCTTGAGCAGTACGAGCAAGCTACAGTAGCAGACGGCCCGTTGTGTTAGAACATAACATGTATATACGCTTAACTATAGAAAGACTAGGTATAAGGTGCAAGTATTAACTGCAAGTTTAAACATGGAGCTTACAAACGAGAGGAGCCCATCCAGCTCATTTGGCTTTCGGAAATTAGTTGGTCTGAGGATTTCTTTCAGAATAATCTTTTTGAAGTTTTGAATACCAGTTCTTATATTGCTAATATTATTAGAACGAATTAGCCGAGCGGTCATTGTCTTAGTGTGAAGTGTTCGGCTCCCATCTTCTTAGATATGCTTACTAAATATAAAACTAAACATAAATAAGAAAGTTTATAATAACGGGGTTAAAAATAGTGGCCATTTGATCGGTTTAATACGAGTAACGTTTCCCCGCTTTTCACCGCCCACCACTCACAACGGCCTTACCTTGCCATTTCCCATGAACCTGGTCAACATGAACAATTATTTAGCAGGTCGACCTTAATGGATGAGGGTGAAACCTGGACGCTTCTCCTTTATTAACATGCATTCTTGCGTTGAATTATTTATACGTGTTTTGGTTTACGCGAATTCAAGAGGTACATTACCTGTATACCATATCGCATGTTCTACATTCATTATAGCTGCTTGTTCAAACAGTTCGAGCAAGGTAGTGAAGCGAGGCTAGTCTTTTCGAGATCCTGACTGTTCCCTAGAATTTATCATTTGGCGGGTTCTGTCGCTTTTTATGGGTGGGAACTACATTAGAAGTTTTATAGTCAATGGGTTGAATCTTTGTCTTGAGTGAGTGTTGGAGGAGGTTTGTTAATGGTTTATAAAATGTTTTTTTTTTCAGACGTTTCGTGCAATACCATTAATATCTGGAGATTTAAGTGTGTGCTACTGTGTCACAGATCCCATCCATGTTAATATCTTAAAAAGAGCTTTCTTATGACAACGAGAGGCATGTGGTTCATTTCTTCGTAAAATTAATTGACTTAACATCAAAAGACACAAATCACTCCATGCACGTGAGTTTAGAAGACTGAAGTATTGTATGTGAGGTTGGGATATTGATTAAATGGTTTTGGTGTCAATTGTGATTAGCCTAATTTTTTGTATAGACCATCCTGATGGGTTACAATGATGGTAGCTGTTTTTGTACCAGCAGCTTTTTTGGCCATTTTTACTTTTTTTGCCAGAATGTGACAGTTATGCCAGGTGATTGTCATCAGAAGTATTGAATGTTTATGGGATGAACTGGGATGATGTGTCTGATCCGAGATTCAAAGACCAGATGTTGGGGAAAAATCCCATAGGACAGCACTGCAGAGTGGTGCGCGGCGAACATCACAGAAGCAATAATATTCATAATAATTCCTTACACTTATAGTGCTTTTCTGGACACTCCACTAAAGCGCTTTACAGGTAATGATAAATCCCACTACCACCAACAATGTGCAGCCCCACCTGGTAGTACAGCCTGTACCAGTTCCAGCAGTGGCAATACAAGCTGGAGGCCTGTGACTTCCACAGTACCTTATTAACCTGCATCACTTAATTAAATGTTGCTGCACCTGCTACAAAAAGATTTCCTTCCTGTCATTTTTTTCTGCGCTTGGTGCAATTGAAATGGTTTATTTTGATCAAGTGGTGTAGGGTTTCCAGGCCTTTTCAAAGCCTTAGCTCCAGATGAGCTGAGTAAATGTGTTATATTGGGTCCCATTAAGCCACTTAAGAGCCTGTTTAGATCTTTAAGAGACTTGCAATGAAAGCATAGACACACCAGAAACAGAGAGCCTGTCTCTGGTCTGAATGTTTCCCATTTTAATGTCTCAGATACTATTCTTCATGTTTTACTCTTCCTTGCAGTTGTAATAATGAAAAAAGCTTGTATTCTTTTCTTGACCTGTTTTGTTGACCTAAAATTTCTAACTTACAGCTCTTTATTGCAGTGAACTGTGAATGAATGCTCTGACAGCAACGTTAAAATAAAAATAGTTGAAATGTAACGTTCCATCTTTCTAATTTTTTTCCGCCTTTCTTGCTTCAGCAGCTGTTCTTATGTTTGTTTTGCTTTTTCTGTTTTCTGTGAACTGTTGTGGATTTCAGTTTAATGTGTGATTTGGGTGAGATTGTGTTTGCACTACAAGCGAAACTTCAGTATAAAGAGTGTGAGGGGACAATTTATGTTTGCACTCTATATGACTTCAGTATCTTAATATAGTTTACACCACTGCTGGTAATCCTGGTCCTGGAGGGGTTGTACTGTAGCAGATCTTCTGAATCCTAAATAGTTAATTCCTAAAGATCTAAAAGAATTTTGTTCTTAGCATTAATACAGGGGTTCAAAAAAGTAGTTTAAAAATAATTTAAACTGAAAGTCTACCTGCAACTCCTAAGGTGAACAGCTGCTCATTCTTGAATTAATTAGTGCCATTAACTTACCACATGTTCCATGTCTTTAGATATGGCTGATTTAAGAGTGACCTGTATTACCTGCTCCCCCGGGGCTCCCCAGAATCTGGGTTGGCCACCTCTGTTTTCCCCAGTTCAGGCTTGTTGTGGATGAGGTGGTGCAAGTTTTAATTATGTCCCTAACAGCGCTTCCTAGTCTGCAAAATACTGCTGTGCTAAGAACAGAACACTGTTGGCACCTGTATAAGCAGAGGCTGTAAAGCAGAAAAACCGTGTAGCTCATCTGCTCTCTCCGTTTTATATCTGTAGTAATACAGATGTTGAAAATCATGCAACAGTCAAGTGGAAACTAGATGGAAGGGTATCATAGGGGAACTGCAATGCTATTTTTATATTTCAGGGTTAGAAAGAATCAGCATTGTTGAGTGCATTTCAAACCACAATAAAAGTAAAATGTACACAGTAACTTGTAAAACCTCTAATTTACATAATAAAATAGACAAAATTTCAGGACTGTGCACTGCCATGTTCAGCAATTCAGAACGAGGCAACAAAACATCTGGTGACATGAAGTGGCCCTATGACATTATAAACAAGCAGGCTGGTGAATACATCTCTTTTAATCCAATAGAAATAATGCTCTCGATTTCGAGATGGTTTTGCCTACAAATCCTTATATGTTAACTCTGCCTGCAGATCACTTTGGAACATTTCTGCAGTGGAGTGTCTGCAGCACAACCTGTACTTATTGTCTCCTGCATCACATTACATTAGTCATTACAGTGACTAGTGAGCAGGAAGGGCCACTTCACTTTAATTATACATCATTTATAAATTTCATTTTCAGCTCCTAGAATTTTACCAAGTTCCCAGGATCTGCATCAGAGATTCCGGTTGATTTTTATTATGAGATTGCTGCCGATTATGTATATTTGAGACCCTAAAAAGCACTTCAGCAATAGTACAAAAGTTCATTTTCTAAAAGTGGGAATTAGTGAGTGCTGATTGTTGAAGAAATGTGCTGTTATGGTTTATTATGTGTACTGTAAAAAGTACTGTAGCAGTTATCTAGAAATTGACAATGCTGTTCCTCGTTGTTTCTAAAGGGTTATGTATGCGTTTGACAAACTGTAAGGGTAAAAAGCTTGTTAAAGTATTCAGACACTGCAAACAAATTAGTATGAAGGAATATGAAACATTTCTGTTCAAACAGTTCATTCTCCTTTTCAGGCGAATCCTGATAGACACTGGAGAGCCCTCAGTTCCCGAATACATAAGCTGCCTGAAGCAAGCGCTGACTCAGTTCAACACCACAATCCAGGAGATAACGGTCACACACTGGCACATTGACCACAGTGGTGGCATTGCAGATATATGCAAAGACATCACAAAAGGTAGCATGAATATCAACAATTTATTTTTCATTTCCTAACTTGCATTGGCTTTTACTTTAATTAATAATAATTCTTACACTTATAAGGCACTTTTCTGCACACTCTGGAAAAATGATTAATGGCTCTGTTTCACATGCTCTGTGATTTCAGATGGATTCGAATATTTTAGCTTTCAGCAGCAGAATTCAAGTCGAAAGTGTCCTTTTAAACCAATGTGAGATACTTGCATTTAATGGAGACGAAAAATTGTTATTTTTAATAGATTGTGAACACACGTTTCACACGAGATTACAAGTAGACTGTAGATGTTGTCATTGTTTCTTTGTTCTGTTTTTCTGATTGTACAGATTCTGATTTGCGCATCACAAAACTCCCTCGTAATCCTCATGTTGAAGAAGCTACTCTGGAAGGGAAGACATACATGTACTTAAAGGATGGGGATGTGTTAGAAACTGAAGGCGCCACTCTTAGGTGAACAAACCACTAAAAATCGCAAACAAATAGAATGAAAATTCAGTATCAAGTCTGACCTCTGCTGCACATTTAAGGCCAGGTGTTGTCAGACCTGACAGTTGAATGGTGTAGAGGTTAGCACTGCTGCACAGCTCTTGGGTCCTGGGTTAAATTCTGGTCCTGCACCCCTTCTGTGTGGAGTCTGCATGTTTTAATATGCTCATGAGACTTTTCTCAAGGGACCAGTTTCCTCACGCCACCCAAAGATATCCTGCCTTGGTTTGGCTGACGATTCTGAGCTGTTTCTCTGTCGCCCTGAGATGGCATAACCTCTACTTCAGGCTGCTACCCTTGCCAGGAACTAGTTTCAGTGGTTTCCTAAAAAATAAAGAGGTTCTCAGTCCAATCTGTTGGGTTGTCTCACACCCGAACACTTGCTGGTTGGCTACGCTGCTGATATTTAGGCATGCCTAAAGTGCCAGCTTATGGAAAATAAGTACTTATGATATGAAGTAAATGTGGATCAAGCACATTCATTTCAAATGGGAAAATGTTTAGTTACCTTTGTATTCTGTACTTGACAGAATAAAATAGAAATGGAATGCAATCTAATTATGGAAAACGTGGATGTGTCTTTCCACTCTTAACAATCCTAAGCTACGTTTAAAAATGCTCATGCCCGTCCATGCTGTAATATATCCTTGGGTGGGAAATCGCTGATCCCTGTGTGTTTTTGTGCTTTAACCTGCTAGCTTCAAAATGACGCTGATTGCTCAGTGAGATGGCTTTCCTCCACAGGGTCCTCTTCACTCCTGGGCACACAGATGATCATATGGCTCTCATTCTTGAGGAGGAGAAAGCTGTTTTTTCTGGAGACTGCATTCTGGGGGAAGGGACGGCAGTGTTTGAAGATCTTTATGATTACATGAAATCGCTGGAGGTCTTACTGAGCTCTAAAGCCGATTTGATCTATCCAGGTTTGCCATCTCCTCCTTTCATACATTAAGCCTTTCTGTACACAGCACCACATAGAAGAAACAAATTAGAAATATTATTTAGAGGGTTCTGGAGGGAGGTGTTCAACAGTCAAATAATATTTGTTTTTTACTGTACATTTTTTAGCATTGGAAAGGAAAGGTGCTCTTTGTCTTCCTTTTCATGCCTGGACTTTGCTTACAGCTTCAGATCTCCTTCAGGTTTTCTTCTATATCTGAATATGGCATAAAATAACATATCAGAGTTTTCTTCACTAATGAAAGCCAAATGAGACTTTACGTAACTAGGTATTCCAAAAGGAAATGATTCAGAATTACGGCTGACAGTAAGATTTACACACCACCTTGTAATGTAAGCAGGTCTGACCAGCCAATGTACTGTATAACCTTGATTTGTTTTCCTGACTCAAAAAAAAAATGTGATGTTCACAAAGAATTTGAAATTCCACATTCAGTTAAATGCAGAAATACCTTTCATAGCAAGTTCCTAATTTCCCTTTCTGCCCTATTCACATCTTGATTATATAACATATAATTCGTTGTGTTGTTTTGGCATATAAGGATTTTTTTAAACGTAGGGGCACCTAATGAAGGAGATTCACCCACAGTGTCATTTTTCCTCAGTTATGTTCCTCTCCCCTCAGGCCATGGGCCGGTAGTGCATAACGCAGGGAGCAAAATCCGTGAATACATCGTTCACAGGAACCTGCGTGAGCAACAGATTCTCCAAGTTCTGCAAGAGAATGCTGGAAAGTCCTTCTCCTCAATGGACCTTGTCAAAGAAGTTTATAAGGTATTCATTGGATTTCCATTTTTACAAGGAAACAGCCACTCAATAGCTGCATTATCCTATTTTAATCTACTAAGGAATTTGTAGATTGTATAAAAAAAACAGTTGAATGCTGCTGTTAACTGCATTGCAGTAAGATTCTTGACAGAATATGGTAGTATTCCACCACTGTCTCCTGAAGATTTTCACTTGTGCATAGTGAGCTACCGAAGCAGGAGCTGTATTTGTCTTGTGTTTCGTTTCAACCTTGTACGTCATCTGGGATAAAGGGGCTATATAAATATTGAAGAATAATCATTCTTTTTTAACAAATGATGGAAGTTATCCAAATATCAAATGAACTGTAGTGAGCAGACTTTTTAATCATTCTTATGTCTGTGACTTATTAGGAGACTCCAGAGGTTCTACACAAAGCTGCTGAAGTGAACCTTGTGCATCATTTAAAGAAGCTGGAAAAAGAAGGAAAAATAAGTAGGTTATTTCTAGTTTGTGGTGGCTGCTCTATGGATGGCTTTAGAGAGTCTTTCTATAGACTGTATCTATAGAATGACAGTCTATGTACTGTAAATATGTATATCATCTGTAGATTCAAATCATATATGTCTGCAGTCTTCACACTTTAATTTGAACATGTTTTTCTCAGAGGTAACGGGGGATGGAATCTGAAAGGAAAAGACTCACTATAATAATATCTAAGGAACACCACATCTTCAACTTCCGGAGCTAAATTTCATACGGTCCCATCTTAGCAAAACATCCATTTTCTTCCCTTGCTCTCGGGATTATCTGTATGCACGTTATAATGCACTTTACATTTTTTATTTTATCCACAGACAAAGAACATTTACCTGCAGTAAGATGGAGGAGCAGTCTGTGATTCACTTCATTAACTCAGCTTGCAGTTTCTTAAATGCCTTTGATTGTCTTTTAATTGGAACAGCTACAGTTTATTAAGCAGTGTTAATGGGATTAAAATGACAGATTTTATTAAGGTTTTTAATCATTTTGGTGGCACTACATACTGGCCGGAGGTCACGTCAGTGAAAGGTAGAATTACCCACGTAAAAGTGACCATTGCTTTATTTTCATTGTCTTTGTCCTCTCCGTTCTTTCTTTGCCCTCTGTTCTGCACAGTACATTACATGTAGCTTCCCAATTAGCCTTCCAGTGTGAAATTAATTGTTCAGTCTAATAAAGATAAGATTTCCATGCAGTTAAGGTAACTGATTACCCGTTTGTAATGTCATGGAAGGATGAAAAGCTCTTTCTGCTTGGTGAGATTAGCACTCACAGCACTATGACCCTGGGTTCTATTCCTGGGTTGCTGTTTGCATAGAGTTTGTCTGTTTTCCCTGTGTTCACATGGGTTTTCACTGGCTGCACAGCTTTCCTCCTACAGTACAAAGACATACCAGTAGGGTAACTAGTTTCTGGGATCATTCTTCTGGGCGGAGCGGTGGAACTGTGACTAAGGATCTGGGCCTGTGGCTGGAAGGTTGCCGGTTCAAATCCTGTGGCCGGCAGAGGAATCTGTTGGGCCCCTACTCTGTTGGGCCCCTAAGCAAGGCCCTTAACCCCAACTGCTCCAGGGGTGTCGTATAAATGGCTGACCCTGAGCTCTGACCCCAAGCGTCTATCCCCACCTGTGTGTCTCATGGAGAGCAAGCTGGGGTATGCGAAAAATTATATATGGCTAATAAAGCGATCTTTTCTTAATTGTGTGTGTGTGTGTGTGTGTGTGCCCTGTGATGGACTGGTATCCCATACAGGGTGTATCTTGTGCCCGTTACTTGTCGGGAAAGACTGTCTCCCCTGCAACCCTGAACTGGAAGAAACAATTTGGATGCATGAATGTGCTACATAAAGAACGTGCAACATGTCTGTCGTCTGCCTTTTTGAGAGCAGGATGATGTCCGATTGCTCAACAGGTTTGTTCCTACATGACAGTGGTAGTGTGCCTCAGCATTTCCACAATAGATTCACCGTAGCCCAGCCCAACAGTGCTGCTTTTCTGATCTTAACAACCTTTGTAACATTCAATCAGTATGTGCACTTGGCCTTAGAGGCAAACATAGCACCACAACAATATTCCTCCTAAAAGGAGAGACTGAGAGATGTTTTGGATAGAGTAGCCTGTGTACTGTGTTTTTCTAATGCTCCTGGAAATGCATGAACATGTATGGAATACGTCATATGCAATAAAATAATTAAAAATGTTTTCTCTCATGTCTTCTATAAAAACATTAGTTTATCAGGGTTTGATGCTATACACAATATAAGAATCTACAGGACATAAACTCCCAGATCCTTTTTAAGTGTGCTGCAGCTCCAGATCGCTTATGTACAGTATGGCAATAGTCCGTACTACCCGCATTCGCTTCCAGAGTGGTCGTTTCATGTCGTGTCCACTAGATGGCAGTGTTTTCCCAACAATGAGAAACTATCCTTTAGGTTTAGCTGGATTTTGTTTTTCTCAGCCGCACTTAATTCTACCGGTATGCAATTGAAAAGATCGCTTTTCTTACAATAAAGATGGAACAGGAAATAATTATTGGAGTGGATATATAACCCAACTTCTGACTTAAGGGTATGATTTTTAACATAAAAATGAAACTTTCCCGAATACAGTCTCAAATTATCACAATGCGATACGGTGGGTTTACACGCGAAAACTACGCCGTGCCAGAAACGCCTTGCAAAACATCTCCCGTTTATGCCGGTCAGCAATACCTCTTCACAAAACTGCCTTCTCTCCCCCCATCGGCCAGATTTCCGTGCGCTTGCCATAAATATATATGCACGCACATAGCACTATTACATACTGTACGAACAAAGCATGAGTTCTGAACATATGGCAGCTTGTGGAGCACATTTTAGCACTGAACACAGAACGCAGCTTTTCAATAACCAAGGCTGGAGAGGACAAGAGCACATGGAAATAGCACAGCCCTAAAAAAAGTTCCATTAGGGAGCTGCATCAGCATGCGTAGGCTGCAAAGGAACAAGTCAAGGTTTATTCCATACTGAAAGGAAAAGAAAAGAGTCACAGTGTTTCGGCTGTGGAGCCTTATTCAGGTGTGAGGTCTAAAAAAGAAACCTTCACTTCATTGTGACCTTAAACGTCAAGTGCAAGGCTTTGATTTTGACTTAGATTTCATTCTCAAAAACTTCACACCCTGAAATCTGCAGTGGCGTTTTTACAGAAATCATGCTGAAATGATTGGGAGTACCATATCTGATTCATTTTCATCTTGGTCTAGAATTAACATCCTTTTCTGAATCGGCGTGAGCCCCACTTGACGGGAGACGTGCCGATGGAAATGTTGCAAGGTCAGATTGATTTATTGCTCTCGCTGACTTCACAGATCTGGGTTCGGCAGCTGGAGAACTGTGGTTTCATACCCTGCCATTAAAGAACAGCAGTGCTTGACCTGTTTGGAGACATCAGGCTCGACAGCACGAACCTTTATTAATGTGACATAATTGGCTTTTCCTGGAACCTAACCCCCCTGCGCAGGTCTTCAGGCACCAGAAACTAACCCCCCAGAGAAATTAGTGTGAAATAAGTATTTATTAATGTAACTGCCAGTAGATCAGTGGATTGTGAAATCGCCTCGAGATTAATGTGTTACTAAATCAAGACAGTATCTGGGACAGAGGGTCTGTGCTGCTGTGTTCTGTGTGTACCTGTTCAACTTTCATGCTGAAAGCAGTAAAACAAGCTTTTGTTTTCACAAATTCACAGAATTGGCTTCGGTTTTCAAGTGTCATCTCAAAATCTTCGGTTAATGTGCGACCATTAATGCTTCAATGTCCCAATTCCATAAAATTACCCAGCAGAGATTCACGGAAAGCAAGCAGCTTAGCAGAAAAGTTCATTTTAAACATACTTTACTACTGATCAGTACTGAGATGGGATATTGAAACATGTGCTCATAATATCAAAACCCAAAATAATTCCCTGAAATGTGTGAAATGGACATTGTTACCTTACAATAATGTATTTTAGAGCAAGTCTTTCTATTTGCAACCCTCACCTCCCTAAGTTCTCTTTCTCTAAAAAACTGCAAGGTGAAGTGAGCCTGTGATACAGCTAAGCATTGGGTTAAATGCGAAATGCCTTTGCCACTGTAGGGACGCAAGAGATCACAGTACAGTTTTGAAGTACAGTAAGTGTATTACCAGTCATCCATTCAGAGAGCAAAGCAGATGTACTGCCTGCTCTGTTCTGCAACAATCATGTTTGACACACAAAATCAAATTTAGGACAAGGACACGTGATTAATTTATTTAAGCACAGAAGATAAAATGATGTACATGGTGTGGGGAATATTTTTATGCAGCACCACAGAATGCTTATTCTGCTGTCTGAATGTTTGAGAACATCACGAACATCCAGCCTTCAAACTATCTTGTCTAATGTTGTACAAGTGCACATCTTGCACATCTAAGTTCTGTTTTCACTGAATTCTTTATATAAATAACTGTTAGAATTGATTATATAACCTTACAAAGTACTGTACTCTTTCCTCACTGTAAAAGCTGGCCTTGTGTTCAGGGAGTAGCTGCTATATTTTTGTTATTGGATGTCTAAGGGTGATGAAGTCACTCAATTCACACATTTCAAGGCACGTTTTAATAAGAGTAGTGCATTTTTAATGACTATGAGTAAGCAACTTTCCCGTTAAAGAATGATGTGTTTGTAAGAGTGGAACAGCACTCCTTGTAGCCAAAAAGCTGGGGCCTGCAGCAAGTTTCTTCGCTTTTAAAGCTATCTATCAAATTAACACAAAGTATTATGGTACTTGTCAGTTGTTTCAGTAGCACAGTACTACATCTCACACCAGGGAATGGCAGTGTTTTCTTTCCTTAATTGTGGCCCCAGGAACGTTTTATGAGACAAGTGTAACGTGGAGAATAAATAGTGGTCCCTTCATATGCAGAGCTTCCCAGTTACTGAATTCTTTCAAAGTTTCGGTGAATAAAAATCTAGAATTCAGGACACTGATTCGTGCGTCTGTGGCTTGATTCCGTTACACACAGCGTGGCAATACGCGAGGGTGTGTTCAGTGTGGAGGCGGGACCCTGGATGAAGGGTTTTTGGCTAAACCGCAGCCGTGGGGCCCTTTAAGATTTCCTGAACACTGCCCGGAGGGACAAGCAAGTCCTCGCAAGGGGAGGAGCATTCCTCTGACAGTCCCGGAGGGGACTGTGACCAAGCGTGAGGCCGTCGTTTTTCCTTCATTTTGTTTTCTTTTCCCAAGGCCGCTGTGTATCTCCACCGGGGCAGGCTGATCCTTTTTCACGGGTTTGAGTTTTTATTTTGTTTTGGCTTTGCGCTCCCTGCTCTTCCAGACTGGACCCCGTTAAATAGGGTAGTTCAGTCTGGACGCCGCGGGTGCACAGCGGACCATTATTATTTTTTTGCTTTTTGTTTCGTTCCACCCCTTTTGAGTTATTTTCGGTTTTCATTCACCTCACACCGGTGCCTCTGTCCCTCAGTCGGGAAGTCGACTTTAACCGGTGCTCGCTGCAGCTCCTCCCACTCCCACACCGTTACAACAGATATACTGTACAGTACTTGTTGTTAATGTTAGGCATGTGATAATACACTGTAACTATGTTTGCACATAAACATTATTTATGTTGTAAAATTGAATTGGAAGTTCTAAGTAAAATAAACCGATTTACTGTTCATTAAATAATTGCATGAACAGATCTGTGTCTCTTAAACAGTTCTTAAATGCCATAATTCCAGATCCCATTTGCACTGAACTGCAGAATTATGCTGAAGAAGGGCTCCTTTCTGCAGATGACTAACTCATACCTGGCTATAGAACTTGTATATCCGAGACATGGAATTCTCCACTAAAAGTGAGCTTTCCTTACAGGGCTCCAGCCCAATCCAAGTCACATGCATTTCCCTGTACTGTACCTCAGCATAATATGTAATTAAATATCAAAGTTTCAGCATTAATGCTCATAATGACAAATAGCAGGGAATATTTCATCATTCCATAGAAAATTCCTGGGCTTCAAATTGAAAAACTGAGAAGACTACAAGGAGGTTTCATTCAAGTCTTAAAAATCTACAAAGGCATTGACATATTCAACTCTATCGACTTCTTCAGACTCAGTAATGAAACATGAACCAGCATCAAAAGTGGAAACTACATGGAAGTAGTTAGTCTTTCCCGGCAAGCAACAGGCACA